CATTATCTTGCCCATGTAATTGTAACCCCTCTGTATGGTATTTTCACAAAAAAAAAAAAAAATTAAAAAAGCTGGACTGGGAATGTGGCTTAGTGGTGGTAGAGTGCTAGCCTTGAGCAAAAATAAACCCAGGGACAGTGCCCGGGCCCTGAGTTCAAATCCCAGGACTGGAAAAAAAATTTTAAGAGCCAGTGTCAGTGATTCAAGCTTGTGATCCTATCTACATAGGAGTCTGAGATCTGAGGATCATAGTTCAAAGCCAGCCTGGGCAGGTAAGTCTATAAGACTCCAATTAACCACCAAAAAGCTGGAAGGGGAATTATGGCTCAAGTGGTAGAGCACCAGCCTTGAACAAAAATGCTGCTCAGAGGCTGGGAATGTGGCTGAGTGGTAGAGTGCTTGCCTAGCATGCATAAAGCCATGCGTTCAATTCCTCAGTACCACATACACAGAAAAGGCCAAAAGTAGCACTGTGGCTCAAGTAGTAGAGTGCTAGCCTTGAGCAACAGCAGCTCAGAGACAGTGCCCAGGCCTCAGTTTCAAGCCCCAGGACTGGCACAAAAATAAAATACAATTAAAATAAAATAAAAAGAGACCATCCTACCACACCTACACAGACTTTAGATACAAGATCAGCTTCTATGTTGCCAACTTCCAAGGTAGTAACTCGAGAAGGCTGGCCTCTGGTCCCTCAGGCTCCCCTGATTCTACATGCTGAGACTGGGGAAATCTCAACAGAAATTTCATAGAAATAAGTTCAACTACTTGGCCACACTTTTTAATTTTTTCTTTTTCTTTTTGCCAGTCCCGGGGCTTGAACTCAGGGGCCAGGCACTGTAACTAAGCTTCTTTTTGCTCAAGGCTAGCTTTCTACCACCACTTCCAGCTCTTTTTTCTGTGTATGTGGTACTGAGGAACGGAACCCAGGGCTTCATGCATGCTAGGCAAGCACTCTACCACTAAGCCACATTCCCAGCCCATTGGCCACACTTTTTAATTTGTATTTTACACTTTCACAAGCTCTACCAATTATGTGAAAACTTGGAAGGCCCCACCCACATGGAGCTTGGAGTTTCAACCATGCTCCTGGTGAGTGATCTGGGGTGAAGGCACAGGTCCTGTCATATCTGTCGTATCTTCCTATGGCCTGGCATAGAGCAGAAGAATGAATGAACGACTTTCTTTTACAGCTGCCTCTGCAGCTACTTGTCAAAAATGGCATGTGGGAAGTGGCCAGAGAGTGACAAGGCCCCTACAGGTCTCCACCCTGAGTCTTTGGCTTCAGGCTGTAATCAGGAAACCACCTGCACCCCACCACACAGAGTGTACAAATTTCTCCTCGGTCTTTACCCACCTCTTCATCTTCTCCTCTTTTCGGTGCTGACGCACCCAATCCTTGGGTGACTTTTCAGTTTCTAGGACATGATGTTTTTTGTTTGTCCACCTCAGCAGCTTACTTTTGGGTTCACAGTCCGAATTATCTACAATGTCCCCAGTTCCATGGTCCCCTTTTAATGGATATGCTATTAAACACAAGTTCCTGTCTTCATCTTCTTCAAAGCTCACGGAGACAACACCTGCGAGGAGGGTGAGGAGCAAAAGGACTTTTAATGTGATGGGAAGATGCGTTCTAAGTAACATGATTTTAACATGTGTGTTTTTTTCTTACCCTGTTCCTTAAGTCTCTATGTTGCCAGAGGCCCCAAACTCATCTGCAACCTAACAAATATCAAAACAGCTAGAAAAAAATGACACCATACAAGACAAGCGATTAGGGAGCAAACATGGCCGAGGAGAGACTTCTTCTCTAAAGTACCCAACAAGGCAAGAGCCAAAGAATTACAAGACACATTTTTCCATATTGAAAATGTTTATTAATTGTTATGTAACTCTTCTAATCCTATGAGAGACACACACACACACACAAAAAAAAACAATGATCTTTATATCTCATGGGAACTTGAAATGCCCTACACAGAAACTCTGACCGGCCTAGAATTCTGCTTTAAAGCAGAGCCTGAACACAGGGGAACACAGGTTTGCCTCCAGGTAAGAAGCATCTGAGGGTGAGGGAAGACTGGGTAAATAAGCAAAGCAAAATAAAAGGGGGAGGGAGCGCAAACAAAACAAATCACACAGCACACAGACACCCTAGCAAAAGGCCTCCTGCAGCACCCCCACTTGGGTGGGTGCCCCCCGAGCCTTTTGTCCTTCTCGATTATTATACTTTTATTGGTCTTGCAGTTTGGGTATCACAAAAGAACAAAATGAACACAAGGCAGATAGGGTTGGGCCAGGATGCACAGACACATGGCGGCCTTGAAAGCAGCTTTCCCCCTTGAGTCTCTAGAGCCTGCCATGTGTAATTAGACAGTCTTTGAGGAGGGAGCCATTCAGCAGGTGCCGACGAGCGCCTTACAACCGACTGGCTGAACGCCTTTCCTGCCAGGCCTTTCTGCCCCCGGGATCACTCAATCTGCTCAGTGCTTGCTGCCTGCCCGCTTGCTTGCTGCAAAGGAATGCGTGCTCAGAGAGAGACGACACTTGTGAGGTGGTCCCCAGCTCCTGGGGGGGGGGAAGAACTCAGGGACCACACTTCCCTGTGGCCATGGGTGAAAAGGACCAGGAGGGGGGAAAAAATGGGGCAGGAGTGACTAGCTAACAAAGGAGCTTGGGCTTTATCCTGGAAAAAAAACAACAGAAAAGGACCGAGTGAGGGTCCCTGGCTTCCCCGCCCCCACCAAAACACATGCATTTCAAGAGTACAGACAGGAGGTACCCAATACATTCTTGTCTTTAAAGAACCAAGTTTCAACAGTCCCCCAAGAACCTATATTGTCCTAGAAGTCTTTTGGATAACCAATAGTGCACATTGAAAATTAAAAGTTTCTTGATGGGCTTCTCCTTTGATTTACAAAAGGTTCCCCACAGCCACACACCCCCACTCCCCAGGAAAGACCACACCATGCTGGTTGGTAGCTGCCAATATTCCCAAACACCTCCCCCACCCCTTGAAAAATGCATTGTTTAAAAAAGAAGAACGTCACCATGGATGAATCAAAGGATTGCCTTTACATAGCAATTCTGAGGACATTCCGTAATAGCAAAGGGCTTCAGCTAATCAGCGCAGTCCTCCCACTCCTGCATTCCATGACTCAACCCTGCTCCCAGCCTACCTAATCACCAGGGCTTCTGGTTTCCTGGAGGACAAAAAGCAGGCTGCAAGAATTCTGGGCAAAATCCTCCTAAAGTCTTCCCCCACTGTCCCCTCTGTGGGGGACTATGGGTTTACTGTAATCAAGAGACACCTGAACAGAAGACACAACTAGACTTCCACCAGAGAAGAGAGAGACTCAAAACAATCCACAAAAACAAAACAATTGTGCAATCTTACCCAGGGCTTTGAAACTGAGGGAGTGAGGTGCTGGGCTGAGGGCCAAGAAGAGGAGGATGGAGGGGAAAACACAAGAGTGAGTGGGAGGGAGAGCGGGCTCACAGGGTGGCTAGCTGCCAGGGCCTTCCATGGCCACAGTCCCCTCACATCTCACCAGCCTGGAGACCCCTCCAGCGGCTGGGGGGCTTACCTTTGTACTGGGGAGTGAATTTGCGCATCTCCGCTGGGAGGGTCTCGTAGAACTGATGCTCCCTCGGGATCAGGGGCTTGCACAGGGTTGTCTCGTTGAAGCGGAGGACGCAGGAGTGTCCCCCAACCTGGTGGACAAAGGGCTCCAGCAGGACACCCTTGGCATGGGGCTCCACGTCCATGGCCCTGAAGGCTGGGCTCATCCTCCGGACGCAGGCAGCAGGTAGGAAGGGGAGGCAGCGGGGTCTGGCGGCCAGTGCGTCTTCTGCCTGTGTCTGTCGGTGTCTCTTCACGCCTGGACTGGCAAAGGACACTCTGCCTGCCGGAAAGCAAACACAAAGGCGACGATGTGCTGTTTAGAAGGAGCCTGGGTGCTGCTGGAGAGTCACTGGCCCTTCCGCTCCAGCAGAAAGACAAACAGTGTGAGCTCATATAGGGCCCCGCCCACACCAGCCCCCGCCTCTTCCCACAGAAAGACAAACAAGAGGGGCGGGGTTATTTGGGGCAGATAGATGGGAGACACTAGTATTATAAAGCCACTACAAGAGGAGAGAAACCCAAAGCCACAAAACCATGGGGGTAAAATTACACTTTCTAACATAATATTCATTATTTAAACCTATTTTCTAATTAGACTGTTACACTGAAGGTGTATGGTGCCGAAGTTTCTCCACTAATTATATATATTTTTTAATAAAATGTATTTAAGTACAGGCAAAACCAACTTACGTTATGCATCACCTGGTTAGATTTACTCACCCAAGGTGTCCCCCACACATTACCACTGCCCAAAGCCAAAGCCAAGCTCCATTAACCTTATTAGCAATGGAGCGCCAGCTCGGCTTTAATGATTAACCTCTGTATCTAAAAACAACTGATTGAGAGGCTGGCTAAATCCATTAAAAAAGATACACAGTGTTCTAGGTCACAGACTATTTTTATCAGTTCGATCCTGATCACCAAAAGCTGGCACACACCTTCAGATCTTGATCACCAAAAGCTGGCACACACCTTTAGAACCAAAGTTGCGTTCCTGGGGCAATCAAGGTTCTCACCCACCTCAGTGAAGGCCTTGGAGATCATGATTACGTGGCAGAGCTGTACAAATTACACCATCCATTCGGCACACCTCCACACACACCCTGTTTACTGTTTCAGAACGTGAAACTTCCTGCCTATAATTTACGGACCTAGTCTACTAGCACCATGGCACAGGGCTTGAGCTACACTTCCATGGCTGTACAGGCATCTTACTGGGCAACTCCTCCAGTTCCCATGGCTCCCACTGGAACGGTAGTAGTGAGAAAGAGTCTGTGGAGATGGGCCCTTTGTCCTTGAATGGAAAGCACCTACTATGTGCCAGGCTCGTTAAAGGAATTTCTTATTTTTGCCTCACGATCCTTTCTATGAGGTACACAACAACTTGGGGGAGGAGTTTAGGAAACACGTCCAGGACTGGAGTTAGAAAGCCATAGCTCCCCACTTTCTCAAGGGCCCAGGGTCTCTGGAACTTGTGCCTTGATATAGCATTCTTATTATACAGACGGGACAGTTATTTTCTATAGTAGAAAAATATATCTTGGAAAAGAGTGTTACCATAAGTTAGTGTTTATCTCCTTTCAGAGAACCCAACTGTGTATGTACTCTGATTGCAGAATTAGGAATCAATAAGCTTTCCTATCTGCAAAGAACACGGAGACCCAGAGGTCCTGATTTCCCACCTGACTCACTACAGAAGGCAGTGGAGCAATGTGAGAAATGCCCTCAAACCACACAGGCAATGCGACCACAAGGATGAGGGCATTCTAGCTTCTCCTGCTTCTCTCCAGAAGATGGCGCTCTTGAGATGCCCTTCCTCTAGTTCCATACAGACTAGCTAGCTCACTCAAGGGGCGAAAGTGCTAAGACCTGAGTAAGCAATATCAACACCCACGGAAAGCTACTGTCACATGCAGCCTGCCAGAAACAGCGCCACTCAGGTACCATAATAAGCAAATTGTCCAAGTACAAGATGCTTCTAAAGATCTAAAATTGCTTTTGCTAACAGAGCAATACTAGTAATAATGCAAATCCCTTTTCAATTTTGCTCAGAATTCCTTTTTTTTTCCTTTTTTTTTGTCAGTTGTGGGGCTTGAACCCCGGGCCTGGGCACTGTCCCTGAGCAATTTTGCTCAAGGCTAGCACTCTACTACTTGGAGCCATAGCTCTACTTCTGGTTTGGTTGTGGTTAATTGGAGATAAGAGTCTCATAGACGGGGCTGGGAAGGTGGCTCAGTGGTAGAGCGATTGCCCTGCATGCCTGAGGCCCTGGGGTCGATTCCCCAGCACCACATAAGCAAATAGAAAAGAGCCGGAAGTGGCGCTGTGGCTCAAGTGGTAGAGCGCTAGCCTTGAGCTGAAGAGCTGAGGGACAGCGCCCAGGCCCAGAGTTCAGGCCCCACGACCGGACCCAAAAAAAAAAAAAAGAGTCTCATAGACTTTTCTGCCAGGGCTGGCTTTGAACCGCGATCCTTAGATCTCAGCCTCTTGGAGTAAGCTAGGATTACTCAGGCTTATGCCTGTAAGCCTGTGCCAGGCTTCAGAATTCTTAACCGTGTTAAACTAAGTATAAAATACCTATGCAGGGCTCTTTTAATCCACTGCCACCTCTGATGAAAATCAAAGAAAAGCTGGTCGGTCCTTTTCCCAGGTCCCTCTGATGTTCATTAGATATCATGTGGCACCTGAGCATCTCTGGTAGTCCGCAGGTCACGGCTTCCGGTAAAACCCCTGCCATTATCATCTTGGATGCTTACTGTAAACATCATGTCATTCCTGATTTTAGATTTATTGTCCATCTCAGCTTTCCATATTCCCTCACTGCCGCCCATGAAACTACAAACAGGAAAGGCACACAGAACATAATCCACCCTAGAACACGCTGTAGCATTCCCCCACAGTCCACACCAAGATGCAGGCAGAACCGATTTAAGGAGTGTAGGATGACGTCTTAATATTCTGAATTTTCTGTCCTGCAAATCAAACATCAATGAGCTGGACACCACTGGCTCACACTTGTCATCCTAGTTACTCAGGAGACTGATTACAGAGGATGGCAGTTCAAAGCCCTGCCCTGGCAGGAAAGTCCATGAGACTCTCATCTCCAATGAAACCACCAGAAAACCAGTGCTGTGGCTTAAGTGGTAGAGCGCTAGCCTTGAGCTGAAGAGCTAAGGGACAGCGCCCAGGCCCAGAGTTCAAGCCCCAGGACTGACTGACTAAATAAATAAATATAACATTGATGAGTCATCAATGCTCCTGGGCTCTTAGTTCATTCTTCCAGAATTTAGTTAATGAGAGGATAAATGGGCTCCACTGGAGCCACTTACTCTGCCCAAGAAAAGCTCCAGGGTCAGGCAGTCACCAGGGAAGGTGTGATGCAGGATAGCCTCATGGTAGAAAAACAACCCTTAACAAACTAGAGCTCAGTACACTTGCCCAGTACACCTGCACCACCAGGGCCAGTCATTGGAACGCCCATACACTGTCCAGAGAAATGCAACAATGGGCCAGGTGCCAGTGGCTCATGTCTATAATCCTAGCTACTCAGGAGGCTGAGATCTAAGGATCGCAGTTCAAAGCCAACCTGGGCAGGAAAGCCCATGAGTCTTTTTTTTTTGTCAGTCCTGGGGCTTGAACTCCCTCAGCTCTTCAGCTCAAGGCTAGCCCTCTACCACTTGAGTCACAGCGCCACTTCCTGTTTTCTGAGGGGTTTATTGGAGGTAAGAGTCTCACGGAACTGGGCACTGGTGGCTCACACCTGCAATCCTGGCTATTCCAGAGGCTGAGATTGTGGTTGGAAGCCAGCCCAGACAGGAAAGTCAGTGATACTCGTATCTCCAACAAACTACTACTACTTAGAAAAGGCTGGAAGTGGTGTTGTAGCTCAAGTGGCAGAGTGCTAGCCTTCAGCCAAAGAAACTCAGAGATAGTACCCAAGTCCTGAAAAGGCATAATTGTTTCTTTTTTTTTTTTTTAGTCCATCATGGGGCTTGATCTCTGGGTCTGGGCGCTGTCCCTGAGGTCTTCAGCTCGAGGCTAGCACTCTAGCACTTGAGCCATGGTGCCACTTCTGGTTTTTAGGATTGTTAATTGGAGATTAGAGTTTTACAGACTTTCCTGCTTGGGCTGACTTTAAATCGTGATCCTCAGATTTCAGCCTCCTGAGTAGCTAGGATAACAGGTGTGACTCACCGGCACCTGGCCCAAATAAGCCTTTTCTTAAAACACCCATCGGGAAAGAAAACTTAACTATCAAGTCTTTTCCAGTCTCATCACTGACCTCCTTATTTCTCAAATATGCCCGACATGTCCTCAGGAGCCTTCATACTTGCTGCTTCTTTCACTTGGTATGGTCTTCATCAGATATATCCCCTTGGTTTGCCTTTTTCTTTTTGGGGGGAGTGGGGGGGCATCGGCATTGTACTAGGGTTTGAACTCAGGACCTTGTATTTTCTAAGCAGGTACCTGAACCATGCTCCAAGACCTTTGCTTTTCACTAACTTTTCAGAGTCAGGGTCTTATGTTGAGAATCCTACCTATAAAGCTATCTTCCAGCATAGCTGGGATCACAGGTATGCACCATCATACCTGGCTCGCTGACTGAGATAAGGTCTACACAGGCTGGCCTCAAACTCTGATCCTCCAAATGAGGCTAGCCTCAAACTTACACTCTTTCTTCATTTCTAGAGTGCTTTGGCTTACTCTCGACCTTCTTTACTTTTCTTTTTGGCAGTACTGGTGATTGAACTCAAGAGATTTGAATTTTTTTTCTCCTTCTCATTACCCCAGGCAGGGTTCTCATCACATTGTCAAAGATAGCTTTTAACTCACAAGCTATCCTTCTGAGTCTCCCAAGTCACTGGGGCCATAGGCATTTGTAACCACATCTAGCTTCCTCCAATTCTTTTTTTGGTCGGTTGTGGGGCTTGAACTCTGGGCCTGGGTGCTGGCCCTCAGCTCTTCAGCTCAAGGCTAGCACTCTACTACTTGAGTCACAGCACCACTTCCTGGTTTTCTGAGTGGTTTCTTGGAGATAAGAGTCTCATGTACTTTCTTGCCTGGGCTGGCTTTGAACAGGGATCCTCAGATCTCAGCCTCCTGAATAGCTAGGATTACAGGCGTGAGTCACTGATGCTCAGTTTCCTTCAATTCAAGTCTCACTTTTTTTTTTTTTTAATCTCAATTTCACTGGTACACCAGATAGTCTTTTTTGTTTTGTTTAAATGATATCTCATTTGGTGGCCCAGGCTGGCCTCAACTGTTCGTCTTTGCCTCAGC